AAACAAGAATACTCAGGTATCAATTTTTAGTGTTATACAAGTCTCAGAACACACACTCATAGTGTTACTATATGAGTCTTTGAGTCAGTGTTGCCTCTTTCGCAACTGCCTGGACAAGTCCCTGCAGTTTCGTTGGCAAGGTTTTTCAGAAGTGGTTTGCCATTGCCTTCTTCCTAGGGCTGAGAGTGAGTGATCGGCCCAAGGTCACCCAGCTGGATTTATGCCTAAGGCAAGATTAGAACTCACGGTCTCCTTGTTTCTAGCCTGATGCCTTCACCACTACACCAAACTGGCTCTCTTAAATAACTATAACCTGCTAGAAACCCTCTGAAATCAAGAACCAAACTCAACACTCACAGATGGTACTACTGTTAGAGCATTCTGTGCCCTTGCCCTCTGGTGGCAGCATTATAGGGTCTTCATCTACCAAGAGAGATCCTGGTTTATAGGCTGACAGATGCTCCTGGGATGATGACGCACCTTCGCAGTTACGATATGACACCTTTTTAAGAAGTGGTTCAGCCAATGTTAACTTGCCAACGGCAGAAGACTCAGCCATTGCTTCCTATAACAACAGAATCAAGTAGTGAGCAAAACATCCAGTCCCATCCAGTTTCTTCCTATACACCAGAAATGGTGATTTCTAAAAATGTTTTGTACTTCCATCTCTCTCTGCCACCAGGTCAACAACAGAAGATTGTGCCAATTCTAGCCCAAAATATCGAGAGGGCACCACATTGCCTGCTTGTTTCCATACACGATTCAGCTCAAGCCCCACCATAGCACACCCCTTTCAATACCCTTTTTACCACAATTTTCTGTTACAGCAAGCTTGAGAGCAACCTTTGTATGTGTCCTTTTAAAATACCCTTTCTCCTTCTAGGGTCCACAAGGCAAGCAAGCTCAGGTGCATCAGGCCCAAAAGGAAAACGTGTTTTGTTCTGTTCGGTTCTGTTTCGTTTTGTTTCCCCACCATCAGTTTGCCGGAAGGACGAACATCAAGCCGGGCACAGGCAAGAGACGGATGAGGCTACGGGCCATTACCTTTGGGGGGAAGGATTTGGAGGGCTTCTACGCAGAGAACCGGGACCAGGAACGGGCCTTCGGAAAGGAAAGAGGGCTCCCGCTTAGCCCATCTTCCCCTCTCGGATTCCCGTTAAGAAAAGGAATCGCCTCTTCTGCCCCCGCGTGGGAAGAGGCTCTTCCTCTCTGCCCCTCCTCGCGCCCGCCTGCCTTGCTGGGGAACTGGATCGACGCCTCAAGCTCTGGACGACGCCCTCTGCCGCCCCACGTCTGCGCCAGGGCCGGGGCTGCTGTTGATCCTCGCCTCGCCGTCCCTCGCTCGCCCGCCCGCCGCCGCGGCCTACCCCTCCCTGGCGCCTCTCATGGATGCCCCAGCGGCTCTCAGAGCCTTCCATCTGGGTCCCTTCCAGCTGCGGCCCTCCAAACCAGAAAACCTGCCCCAAATCCTTGCCGGCTCCCCGGTCACCCCCTCGAGGCCGCCCCAGTCCACCCCCCCGGCCCCGTCATGACTCATAATAACCCCAACAGCTGTCCTAACGGCCCTCGCCCCGCTCCACATTCGGCCGCTTCCGGGGCCCTTCCTTCTCCAGAAAGGCCTTCGCTTCCCGTAGAGCCATTCCAACCGCCTGCACGAAATGCTTTCCCTTACTTCCGTCACATGTCTATGACTGCCACCAACTATTTTTAGACAGATAAATTAGAGATTTGGGAAAATGTGGTAGGCTCCAGTGCCCAACCTCTGGGCCAGGTCTCATAAATTACTGGATCTTGTTTCAGGCATTTTTATAGACAGCCTCGGGGGGTCGAGCAATGACGCACGCGCATAGCGGAAAGCGCTCTACAAAGCACCCGTAGATTATTACTTGTAAGAGACGCGGCGGGGCTCGAGTTCCACTGGTTTGCGGTGTCCTGCGCATGCTCCTTGCAATGCGCGATTCCAGCCATCATGGATGTTAAACAGGGGGCGCAGGCGCCATCCGCTCTAGCTTTCTGGTCAGTTTCCCATCAATGCTCCTGCGCTTTTAATTGCACGCCATGTCACGTATTGGAAAGCATCTTCGCCAGTGGAAATTCTGCCTGTCATTCCCTCTGCTAAGGCAGTCTTCCTGTACCGCTGGAAATAGGAAGTAACAGTAACAGTAATTTTGCAATTATCCATCTTTCAAGAGCATTTCATGTCTGTCACACATTAGGAAGACTTAAGATATTTTCACAGAATAGCATCTGACGATGAAGGGACTGCACAGACGTTTTTAAAAAAATCTGAAAGAGTGAAGAGCATCAGTCCACCTGATTTATAAACATGGGACTGTGTCAAATTGATTCCAGTGGTTTGTTCATGATGCATCTCAACTGAAATTCCCTCCAGGTAGGACGAGGAATTATGATGGCTGTTGCTTTTCGAAAAGGCATAAACCTTAATAGGCAAAGTAGAACATTCCCTCTGAACAGCTCAGTAATGCTATAATTCTGGATAACCTTATCCTCATGGATTATGCCCCATTAAATGTAATGGGATTTGCCAGAGTCGAAAGGCACAAAATTGCCTCCATAGCTATATGTGTATATTTATGCAACTTTATGGGGGATTCATTGAATACAGACCTACTTGGCAGATGTAGGGACTGGCTGTGGCATATCTGGAGAGAAAGATTTATTTGCCCAACGTTTTCTGAGTATTTAAAAAATAGAAAATGAAGTGCCAATGTGAATCACGCCAGGAATCGGGTAATGTGGATATAAAATCCGTCTACTACAGGCACACACGCACGAGGCATTGGTTCTCCTCCTGGACCTCACCTAGCAGTTTACCAGACTGGTAGCACCCAAGCTGTACTAGAGATCTTTTGTATAAACTGTAGATCAGCAAAGCAAGCAACATAGACCATCACCTACTCATGATTTGCATTTTTGATTTCCACCCGAGCACACCATTTCAGGAGCAAATAATGCTAAAAGCATCAATCCTACCTCATGGTTTAAGTCCTCAATAAGCACTTTCAATTGGGAACAGAAAATGAGGACGTTAGCTGGCTTTGTTCCCTGAATTCAGAGATTTTTAACCATGGTTTCCTCACAACCTTGACTGGCCTGGTTTATGTTGAGCCCAAACCACGTGTGAACCACACACACTGTATACTCTTTTAGTTGTTTCTGAGCTCTATCAGAGTACTTGTTATATCCCTGGAAAACCACCACAAGGTCTGCTTCTTTGGTGATGACATAATGAAAGTTCACTATCCTAAAATCTCACAAGGACATAGGAGGTCCTGGGTTTTTAAGGGCTGACTACGCATAGCCAGCTTCGTCTGCAGAGATGACGTCTTCCAAGCTAGAACTGGCTTCCTTATAAGAGAGACCCTGGCTGAGAACTCCACACAATCAGCACCCCTCAGGTTCCCCACTGGCAAACACAGAGATGGGCACAATAAAAAGTCACACATACAGAATCATTTTTATTAAACCACATCTCCCAGCTACTGTGAAGAGATATTGTTAATATTCATGATTTGTGCGGATTAGGTGCCATCTCCAGGAGCTGCTTTCTTAAAAGCCACACACGCACGCACACACACGCACAAACAGAATACAGCTTCAGTTCAGCATGGACCACCCAGATGCCAATATGACGACAATGGAAACGGGACCCTGACTGAGAAAGGAACTGTCTGGGAATGCAGGATCTTGCACACAGGACAAGCGATGCCAATCCATCACTTCTTATCGCGCCCCTCAATTTGGGATGGGTCTGGTGTAAGACAATCCTGGTTCCATTAATGAAACTGAGCTGCAGAGCACCATCCTGCTAGTGCTTCTGTTGCAAAAATTCATTAAAAGGAGCTCCTTTGGGGAAAATTTTTTTAAGGACCATCAGATCCAGATTATTTCTTTAAGGGCAGGGGGAAGGGAGAACCTCTCTTCCTGCAGGTGAGCTGGGTTTTTCTGAAGTCACTGCACTCACTCCAGAGAGGCAGGATACAAAAGTGATTGCTCTCAAGATCATGTCTTTCCCCATTCCAAAGCTAAATTCATTTCAGATATATAGAAAGAAATGGTTTTTTTTAAGGAACTAAGATAAAGGTTTCACTTTTCAGTATCCTAGCAGGACAGATCCCTTAGCAGGGGCCACCTATGACAACAAGGAAGTGGAAATGGGCTGGGGAAACGGGCAGAAAATCGATCTACAGCTCTCCGCGAGCGTGGAGCATGTAGTGCTCATGAAGTTCGGATACCAAGCCAAACTCGCCTGGGCACTCAGTGCAGTGGTATGGTCCATCAGCCCCATCTGTGTCCTGGTCCCCGTTAGCCTCCCTGGGAGCAGGAGAGGGAGGAAGCTTATTACGAGGAGGGGCTGGAGGGCTTCTGCGCCAGCTATGTTCACAGCGATGGCCCTCCAGTGTGGCAGGAGAGGCAAAGCCCAGACCACACTCGGCACAGATGTAGTGAAAAGCTCTGCCCCGGCCAGAAGTCGGGGCCGTCCGCCCTTCCTGGCTGTCAGGATTCCCCGGCAAGATCAGTGGGGGTGGGGGTGGCTTGGTCGAAGAGGAACCACTGTGTGGCCTTTTGCGCCCCACGTGGTAGCTACGGTGCACCTTCAGGGCCCGAGATGTGCCAAAGCCACGCCCACATTCAGGGCATTCGTGCCATTCAGGGCTAGGAGCCTGGGAAGAGCTGAGACGATCCTGCCCCACCTCTCCACCATCATCCACCTGTTCCCCAGCAGTTGCTTGTTTTGGTTCTTTGCTCTGGGGACCTAGCAAGGTAAGGAGAAAGAAAACACAGTGATACACGCAAGTATAAAGCACCCTTGGCTTGCTCCCCTCCCTATAGCTCAGAGCTATAGCAATGGTGGGGCCAAAGCTTTCCTCATTTGCCAGCCCCATGGATAATTTGCTATATCAAGGGGTCAGGTTTTATGTATCATGTGGAAACACAAAGGAATGTGAGGAAAGCAACCTGCAGGAGCAAGGAAAGCCACCACCTTTTGTTGAGAAGCTCTAACAAAATACTTTATATTTATTTATTTTTATTTCAAATTTAGATACCGCCCATCTCACAAAAAGTGAATATTAGCAAGTAAATGTGTGAGAAGGGCAAGAGCTACAGCTATTGAGTGGTGTTGGAAATAGCACTCTTAGTATCCTCAAAGGTGCCCTTTTGATTGCTGTTTTACAGATTACAACCCCAAGCACAATAAATTAATAGCTGAGCCTGGGCCCATAGCATCAAACCTGGATGTCTCTTCTACTGCCCAAAAGCTTCTTGCCATGCAACACTCCTATCTATGATCTAACACTTCTGTTTACCTGGATAGCCATTGGCAGATGGGGTTGGGGGGCTACTGTCTCCAGAAGATACTGAGGTTGCTTCTGATTCCTCCTCCTCCTCCTGCATGGCTGAAACACCTGGAAGAATTAAAGCCCACTATGAGCTCTTCTAAATTAACAATTGTCTACCCTGTTCTAAAATATGGAAGTTTATATGCTTAAATAATGAATCAAAAAGGTATTTTTGATCAATGAGACTCACAGATAGACCAAGGAGATCACATACTACAAGATTCTCAATGCTGCAGACTGGCCCCAAATTATGGCTGTTCTACAGATATATATAATCCTATAGATATTTGTTATTCAGAGCAAACTACCACAGGTAAGGCTTTCTCTGCCCCCACTCCAGAAATAGACATTCTTCACTGAAAACTCTAATTGCATGGACGAGTCTCTAAATTTAATCTTCCACCATGCTGGACCACATTCCCATAACTGTAGTCCAATTTATCCAGAAGGTGCCAGACAACTGCTGTAAATGATTTCCTAAGTCAATGGATCCCTCGAGACCCATTCAGAAGAACACATGGCTTGCAGGAGTCCTTCCAGAATTATCTATCCCACCAGGGTAACATGAGCTTCTTGAGAGCAAACTGCTGCTTGGAACTCTGGCATACAATTGTTAGGCGATCGAGATCCATGCGCTGTTGATGTTCAGCAGTCCCGAGCTAAGTCACCTGTAACTCCTTGCAAAATGCCACCCCCTAGTGCTCTGGTGAAACAAGTGCAGTTAGCGGGAAAGTTAACGGTGATGAGATGAAACTGTCATTCCAGAGCCCGCCTTCAAGGTGGACTAATTAGGGTCCCGAGCCGCCTTATTCTGATATTGCAGAGCAGCAAATCTGTGACTTAATCTCCGCCTACCTACCAGAAATGCACCGCGCACACCCAGTTCACTCGTGCCCCTGCCTCGCTTCCCAGGGGCATCTCCCGTCTCAGCCCCGAGGGCCCCTTCTGGACCTCCCGGAGCGGGAGGGGAACCCTCAGGGCCCCCAGCCCAAGCTCCTCGGGCGGGGGAAGCCTGCGCCCTCCTGCCTGTCCCTAGGCTTTGCTCACCAGTCGAAGTCCCATCCTCCTCCTCAAAGCCAATGTCCTCAGAGCTCCCCACTTCCACATGCTTAGGTACTTCGGACATCACCCCTTAATGCCAGCAGCCCAACCTGCAAGAGGAGCGGAACGGGGAGGAGAGAGAGAGGGCGGGGAGCGCGGCAGGGAGCCTGCCCCCCCCCGGGCCCCCCCCCAGAATCCTCAGCCTCCCCCCCGCCCCCGCCGGCCGAGCCAAGCCAAGCCAAGCGCTGCGCTGGCCCCAGCCCCCGCTCCCATCATGCTCTGCAACCATGCGGACCACAGCGGAGCCCACGATCCCATCATGCACTGCGGCTGGAAAGGGTCCACGAGCCAAGAGAAAGGAGAAGCTGGAGGGGGGGGAAAGCTATCCCTTTCCCATAATGCCTTGCACATTCTACCACTCACCGGTTCCTCCGGATTTGGGGAGGGGCAGCCCGGTCCCCTCCGGCCACAGGACCCTAGCTGCGCAAGCGCAGAGAAAGTAGGCAGGACCCGCCCACCAACCCTTATGCCTCGCGCGTGCGCCGTGAGGCTTGAGCGCTCTGGCTCGTAAATCAGCGCTGCGCATGAGCGGGCCGCGAGCCGTTCCAAACGGGCGACCAGCGCTTTCGCTCTGGTGGAGTGGTGGTCCGAATCGTCCCGCGCATGCGCGTGCAAGGATCAGCGTGGGGGCTGAGGCGAGGTTCTGCGCGTGTGCCCAGGAATAAACCAAGTGTGCGGTGGGGGGGTTGCCGGGAGTGGAGGGGCGGCGAGAGAAACCGGCTGAAATTAGTACTGATAAAACGCAATTTTAAGCATGCGTGTGTATTCGGAAATACGTGCAGCTGCAGCCAATGGGGTTTGTGGTCAGGTAAATAGGCGCTGGATTGCTGCTTAGGTTTTTGTCCCCCCCCCAACTGCAGAATGCAAATGTAATCCAGGACCAACAACCACTCTTCCCCAACCTGGCGCTCCTGGTACTGCGGCTATTATTCCCATCCAGAGTAGGCAAAATGGACGGGGATTCTGAGAACTGCACCCCAGCCTATTCTGACCCCAAACATGCCAAAACCGGATCCACATGCTGGCTGGGGATTCTGGGAAATGTAGTCCCAGGACATCTGGAAGAAGCCGGGTTGGGACGCACTGTCCTGACCTTCTTGTTCCTTTAGCACCGCCTCCCCCAACTTGGTGGGGGGTCTCCGACTCTGACGGTGGGAATTCCGGGAATTGGGGTAGCAGCACGCCTGGAGGGGCAGGACGGCAGCGGAGGCTGCTCGAACAGAATTGCTGCGTGGCGTCCTTCCCATCGGCTGGCGAAACTTTTCCCAGCCGCCGTTGCTGACAATCCAGAAAGGGTCTTAGAGGGGGGCCGTTTCGGATAATTTCCCTCCGGAGGCTTGCCGTTGGGCGGGCGCGTTCGTGGGACGCTCCTGCGAGCACGGAAGGCATCGCGAAGATGCTGCGGTCGAGGGACGCCAGAGGGCGCTCGGGCATCGAGGGGCGGCAGGAGGAGGCGGCTGCCCGCAGAGGGCG